AACAATGAAACACACATATTTGACTAAGAAGAATGAACAGAGTGATCGGAAGAGAATTAAAAGAATACAGTGCCATGGAAGTTTGGACGGGAGTTTTAATATAATAAAAACAGTCAATAGGACAAAATTTTACATAAGAAAGTTAAAAAAAGATATATAAGTCTTTATTGGATGGAAGACATTGACAACTCTAGATAAAGCAATGGCAGTGCCAGGAATCTATAAGAAAATGTAGGAGATGTGAAAAGAATGCTTACAAGTAGGGTTAATGAAGGTTAGCCACTGTTTTTGAGAGAGCTTAACTGAGAAAATAGTGACCATACAGAACACAAAACATAGAGGGATTTTGTTTGCTTGCTTGCTTTTTCTTTTTCTTTTAAGATGAGATATTTGAACTGTTCCTTGATCCCTTCAATGAAATTTTTAATGCATGATGAAGGGGTACCTAAGGACCCCAAACCCATGTGGGGCATGTTCTAAAATGGGATCCTGCCATCCACTGTATAAAGACAAAGGAAATATACTCTTAGTGTGAGAGATCTTTAATAGAGTTAATGTGCACAGAGAGAGAGAAGAAAGTTCCTAATAAGAGTTACCCAATAAACACTCAAAATTATACTTCCCCTGGTGAACAAATTCCCAACCAAACAGGGTCTGCCAGAAGCAGAGCTGCTGAGGACTGAAAGCTTGCCACAAGTCTCAGTCACCTTCTGGCAGGGAACCAAAAGATGGGGATTCTGCAGCAGGCCCAAGAAAGCTAAGACAAAAGGTAATGGCTGCCATTGTCAGACTCCTCACATGTCTTTCCAAATGCTTCTGCCTGTCTCTTCTCCACACATCTCCTTCCATGTCTCCTTCCCAGCAATACCAGGATGCAAGTTAGGCTAGATAAGCAAAAGTTCTCCTTTTCTAACCCACCTTCCTACCATGTCATACAGCTTCACCTCGCATCACCCAGGATTAACTGGGATGAGGAACCTGGTACCTCCCCTAACAGAATCATTTTCCAGATACTATAGTTGCAGTTTAACAAAGAAAAATAAATTCCATATGTAAGATAAGTTACACACTTACCAGCAAAATGAAAATGTTATGCTCTTAAATATTAATGTATGTTCCCATGGAAATTTTGTTGATTAATACATCCAGTAGTGCAAAGTAAATATTATCAGTTTCTAACTTGAAAAAATATTTATGAGGTTTGTGGAATGCTGGTAAAATTCCTGGAATATATTTGTGTCTTCTGCTGCTATTTGACATCTAAATGGTCAACTCACATCTGATGTAATGGTGGTATATCATCTGATGTGATAATTAAATGCTGATAAAATTGATGTTCAGTAAGTAAGAAAATGAGCCTTTGGGGTTTAGCCACACTTACCAGTTGGAAACATGAATGAGTTAAGCACTGTGGGTAACACTCTGCTGACCATCTAGATGTCAATAAGCTCCCATTGTGTGTCTCGAATGTCAAGGAGAAAGGGGTGCAAATAGACTTTAGAGTGCAGAGATGCTTCTAATGTAAGCACTTTTAGCCCTAACCTTCCCTGTTTCTTATCAAAATAATTAGTAAATGAGTTTGTGCTTTTTAAATACCTTGTACTGAATTTATTTGAAAGATAAGCAATGTGAGCTGCAGTGGGTGTGCTGCCAGCTACCAATTTTGACTATCCAGCAAGTAGAAATTATTTTAGACATGTTGGCCAGCAAGATATGAAATGGTCATTGATACAGAATAGTTCAGCCTATGTTTTAGACAGGCACACATATCCTCTGACCTTCTAAACACAAAACAATGAGGATATAGGTTTCCTGGGTCTTGGACAGTGATCTACAATTAATCATCAGAAGCATACTGTGCTGTCTTGTCACTATTTACTTAATAATCTTTATCCAGCCACTTCTTTGGAAGCAGTAAATTATTATTACTAATTGAGGGGTTAGAGGGGTTAAAGATACAGATCAAATATAAAAGCTATCTAAAATATTACTTAGAATTAGGGCCTTTCTGGTGGTGCAAGGGGTTAAGTCTCAACATTATGAATGTATTGGCAGCCACTGCAGCATGAGTTTGATCCTCATCCAGGGAGCTAAGCCACATGGCACAGCAGACCTTGCCTGTCTCACCTGCTTTTCCCCTCAGCAGTGTATTTCAGTAGATCTGCCTGTTCTGTTCCCCACTCCTGTCTCTGGTGAATCCTCTTCCCCCACACACACCTCTGTCCTATACCCCAGATCTTATATGCATAAATAAAATAAATATTAAATATTTATGTAACATTTAATATTTAATAAATATTAAATTTTAATAAATATTAAAAATATTATTTACAATTAAATTCCACAAAATAAATTTTACTGCATTATAGAAGATACTGGATAATATTGAATGCACATGTAAAAGTCTAGGTATTTAATTAGTAAGGAACTGTTGTATTAGACTCAGGATCTTTAGAGTGCTAACCTCCATGAAGCAGAAAGCCAAATACACATTCCTACAATGTGGATTTACTGGGGGAAATCCATATAAGCATACAATTCAGTTGGTGGCAAAAAAGGTGAAGATACTGAACATCTTGTCAGAATTAGGGAGACTGGTGACTCAGAGAAAGTGGGGCCCCGCCTGAAGAGTTCTTGGCTTTCATTTATTTATATGAATGGAAGGGCCTTGCCCCATCTCAGGATAAGAGTCCTGGGCAGCAATGTCCATATCTTTGTGAGATTTTAGGGCTATGAGGTCAATAAGCACTTCAAATTGCCTCCAGTTTGGTGCCTATGCTTACATCAAGTTCAAGGGCAGATTATCAGGACCTCCTGTTAATTATTTATACATGACCGCTCTGCACAGCCAGGATGTTAATGTTTTTCTTGCCTTTCCAATATCTGTTTATCAGTGTCTTAGTAAATATGCAGTTGCTTTTTTAAAATTGATAACTTAGAGTCACTCTACCTCAACTGTCCCCAGCCATCCTGCAGTCAGGGTCATGATAATGTCAGTGCTACAATATCAGCATAATTACCATATCAGTAGATTAAAGGAACTCAAGTGGTCACCATTGGAAATTTAAGAGGGAAATGAAGGTATTGGATTGCCATTAAACTCTAGAGTTTTCAATTAGCAGGATAATGACTAAGAAAGGCAGAGGTGATAGGGATTTTGGTTAGAGGTGGTAGGAAGAGGTTGACCAAGGGTTAGACTGGATCAGAATGTAAAAAAAGAGCAAGGAGTTTGAGACACAGAAGACGTCTGAAGGCAAGACCTTATCTTACTTTGAGGAAAATATTTAGAGAAAGGAGCATAGGTTCAACGACAGTTTATTGTAAGAAATGATTTCATCAATAGAGGGAGTTAGTTTTAATTTACCTTTGGACTGAGGGGAATTATTTGCATGATTATAGTTTATGATCTTTCATGAAAACATTTAATAGATGTATCTTTTATTAGGTAACATCTGTTGACAGAATTATTATTAGAAACAAAAGAAATTTCAAAATAAGTGCACATAATTTTAAATATTTGTATGTTTTCCCCTAATGTGTATATTTATAACACATACATATTCCCTTTTCTATGAAAGTTATTTCATAATTAGAGCAGAAGGCATACTTTGTAAATTTTTCCATTTCCCCAGTTACATGTTTTCTTAACTGCTGATGTTTATAATATATTTTATAGTCAACATTTTTTGTGTAAGAATTAAAATCATTAACCATGGGGTAAGATTTAATTTGTAACACTGATACTCATGGACATTTTGCAAATGACTAGCTCAAACAAGGCATGGTGAATGAGTTACTAAATATATAATGACTGATCAGATTGTAAATAATGAACTTAAGCATAAACAGCCTTTTTTTAACAACACATTTGTTATTGTATGTGTATATGTATGTATGAGTTCATTATTCACTTTTCTATGAATGTTGAATGTAAAATATGAAGTGTCAGAAAATAACCTGAAAAAAGTAAAACAAAGGAAACAGCAGCATACCTCACTATAAAGAACAAAGGAAAAATCCAAATTCTTTTAGGATCAGGTTGTGATCCAATATGCTTGATACACATTTTCTCTAATCTTTAACCTGGGAGAAAGCTATTGACAATATTTATCTCAACATTTATCTCAACAGTATTTTTTTTAAGATTTATTTATTTATTTATTTATTTATTTATTTATTTATTTATTTATACAAGCACTGGGTACAGTCAGAAGTGCGGGAGGGTGAGAGAATTCACCAGAGCCACAGCGGGGAGCAGAGCAGGCAGAGGGACCGAAGTACACTACTGAGGGGAGCAGCGGGTGGCAGGAGAGGTCTGCGCACCATGTGGGACCCTCCTCTGGTGGCCGGGGAGCAGCCGGGGATCGAACCAGCACTGCAGAGTTTGTGGGCAGCTTCGCAACCCAGCGCTCAACTGCTGCGCCACCGGGGAGGCCCCAATATCTCAACAGTATTAAGAGCATACTATGAATCTCAAAAATCATGCTTTTTGTAAGACATAACTTATGAATTCATTCTAGAAAGTGAGGATCAGGGTATTCCCACATGTAAGTTTTGAATGCCACAATTATTGAATATTGTTTTATTCTCTGGAATGTGCATAGTTTAGGGCAGAGGGCTGGTTTAGAGAAATATGAAATCAGATGTTAAAGATCTTATACATAAAATACAAATTTTGTTTTAATAAATTTAATTTCATTTAAGAAAAGAAAATGGATTTGTGGTTAATCCACAAGATGTCCTGTAGCATAAACTTTTTGAACAGACTAATCTAAGGATTTTATTTATTCTTTGAGTGCTAGGGGATATAATATTTTACCTCAAAGAAATTGTAGAAAAATTCCTTTAATGGTATTATTCCTTAGCATTAATAGATTTCATTAATCTATTATGTGCCAATTTTTATTGTTCTCCTTTTCCAGCTTATCAACTGACTTAGCTTTGTCATCATGTAACTATAGGAGAATGTGAATTCAAAAGTTTCCCATTTTTCCTTTCAGGGAAATCTTGAGGAGTTTGACACTTTTCATCCTCCAGCCACTAACTATCTCCAGGGGGTAATCTATACATTGGTAAGTGCCACTCATTCTAATTGTTCTTTTTAAAGGTAAATTTAATAAAGTCTCTGACTCTATTATAATATAGAGCTAGCAGCATTTAGATATGTTATCATAATTGCTTGACTGCTTAGAAAATTGCTTTATTTTATGCCAAATGAAATTTCTAATATCAGCATTTCATTTTTTAATGACTCTAGTGATAGGAATATTATTAAAATCTGTCGATGTGAAATTTAAATTATGTGACAATAAAAATTAGTAATTTTTTTCAAAAAGTTTAAAATTATGCTAGTGTTATTTACAGGTGATTTTTCTGGTGTTTTATTCATTGACACCATGGCCTACAAGCAGCAGCTGAATTCATATCCATGGACAGGATTGAGTAGTACTCAAATAAGAGCAAATACAGCCTATCAGTTTGGTTACTATGTAATAATTATTTTCTATTAAAATTCAATTTTAAAGTTTACCTTATGCCATAAAAGCAAATATGTGTTAGTTTGCTTTCATTTATTTTCTCTCTATTATCTCTAAATAATCTGTTCTGATATCATGTTTTTCATATTCGTATCACCATTAGTTAATCTGAACTTTCACAATTCCTGTAAAATTGTTTCTAAAGCACATCTTATGCCTTAACATGCTTTACGTCTATGATCTCCAGAAGTTTTTGATGAGGCATTCCATCAGTCAGAAATGTTAAACATTGCATATATTTTACGTGTATGTGAGTGTGTGTGTGCGTGTGTGTGTATATATAGATAGATAGATATAGATATAGATATAGAGAGACAGACATACAGATAAGAGACTGAGAGAGATTCTACAATCATTTGCTTATAATGCATTACCACTATCTTCACAGATGGACAAATTATAGTAAAAAATATATTAAGTGAACTCATTTAAAAAAATAAAAATACAATGGCAATATCTATGTGTTCTGGTGAAATTTTGGGGACTCCAATTCTATAAATTTTCTGCTTTCCTCTCATTCAGTCAACACCCAAAAGTTATATTGGGTACACAAAGACTATAAAAAACAACCTCACCAAAGCATCAGATGACATGCTGATTCAGTGTGTTTATACATTCATACATACAAATATGTGTGTGCATGGGACAATTGTGGGCAAGATTGACTGGATCAAGATTTTGTTGTGACCAAGAGTGGCACTTGGTGACTTTATGTCAAAGCTTAGGGAATAGAAGAATTCACAGAGGTTGTTAAAAAAAAGCAAGGATTAATATATCGGAAGGACACCTTCTGTCACATGGAATGTCTCCAAAGTTATCTTGCCAAGTTGCTATCTTGACAAAAGAAGATTGATATCATTTGTGGTCACTATATGATAGAATTCCCTGGTGGTGCATACGCTTGCCTGCAATGCTCTCAGTGGCATTCTCAGGGATTGGCCATGACTTGTTATGCTAGGAGGAGAAGGAAAGAAATTTAAATGGTTATAATAAGAAATTCAGCTCTGCAAGTGTCAGTCAACATTTCCCATAAACATTGTTTTTCACAGTAAATCAGATAACTTCCTTTGACTTTGGACTATAAATCAAGAGCTCCCCACCCCTACTCCATGTAATTGGAGTTCGTATTTAATTGGAATCAAGCCTCAGTTTGAATCTGAAGCCAGACAGGATGTGGGTGGTTAGCTATTTAATGACAAACTAAGGACTTTCCAGGCAAGGGAATCTTCATTAAATCTTTAATATAAAAGCCTTTGTTATCATTGATTCCACTTACTTGAGCCCTCTTCTAATTCAAAACCTAACACAGTTGTGAACAAGTTAGGAATCTGTTTAAATGTACTATTATTCAGGACCCAAATCTCTGTCCCTGTCTGTAAATATCACATGCAAAATAGTTGCTGAAATACATACATAATACATATATATCTATATCTATATCTATCTATCTATCTATCTATCTATCTATCTATCTGTCTATCTATAGACAATATAGCATTCCTTTAACCTACCAGTCCAGTAAACTCTATCAAAAATAAAATAAAATGAGATTAATAATAAAATGTGGCTTGTTATTCAAGGTGAATCCTTAATGACTCTTATTATGACTTTTATTTTAGATCGCCCAATGTATATATAATTTATTTAAATGTAAGCATAGTGAGGGATCAATTTCTGTCCCACCACATCATAGCACATGTAATCTTGCTTTCATTTAAATAAATTTAAAAAACACCATTATCAGATGTTATGTTCTCTATATTTGTGTGCTATGAGTTTTCTCTAGGAAAAGTCAAAGAAAACAGAGAAATAAGTTGTGTTCTTCATTTTGGATTGAATCTGTCCTGTTCTTTGTTCTGTGCAGTTAGCCATGTCACTAAGGTGTCTGAGTTGTCTGCTGTTAAAAAAAAAAAGAAAGAAAGAAAGAAAAGGAAAGAAAGTTTCTACTGTTGTGGAAATAAATTCTAGCCTTTTACCCAGACAGAGGAAGAACAAGCAGTGCTTCAGGTATGGTGAGGTCAGGAAAAACTCTATTACCCATGCATGAGGTCCCAGACCTAGATAGCCCCGTAATGCCTGAGCACCGGTTTAAACACCAAGGATTCCTTTTATATGCAACTGTCTCCATATCTGTTACATTGATAGCATCATTTTTCAGCAGGCACAACAATTTGCAGCAAAGTCCCCAGACAGGAGGGGCAAACCAAGGGGGGAAAGATGCAGGCATTCGGGGATGGCCTTGAAAAGATAGACCAGCTGGTTGGCTGCCCGGCCTTGTAGATAAGAATGCTGAGGCTCTGGCCATGAATCTTGAAAGGAAAGGAGCTTTAAGTAAGCAAACTTGTTAATTATGCCTGCATTGGAATGTTCATTGCACCTGGGCTGGAAGTTCTGCTGGAATCTTTATTATATTCATTTACTCAATAATATATTTTCTCATCACTACTGTCACACAATATGGATGAAGATTTAAGTAACACTGTAGTCCAAGTTGCTGTGAAAATTCATAAACTTTACAATCCAAGGTTACAGATGTTATGCCTTGTGGGTTTGTTTGTTTCTTCATTGAATAATGCATATCTAATGTCCAAGGCACAGAGACCCACAGTAAAAGGTTTCAAGATTTTCTCAATTTCTCTAATTGAGCAGATGCCCAGGAGGAAACCTTCTTCTTCTTCTTCTTCTTCTTTTTTTTTTCCTTCTTAAAGATTCATCCACCTATGCATACAAGAACTGGGCACAGGCCAGAGGCACGGGGGAGTGAGAGGACCCACCAGAGACAGAGTAGGGAACAGAACAGGCAGACCTACTAAAATATACTGCTGAGGGGAGCAGTGGGTGAGCCAGGAGAGGTCCCACCAGAGTGGGACCTGCGCCATGTGGGTAGCTCCCTGGCTGGGGATTGAACTCGCACTGCAGAGGCCGCAGACAGCCTCATAGGTTGTGTCTTAACCCCTGGTGCCACCAGGGAGGCCCTCCTTATATTTCTTACTACCAAGTCATCAATACATTTAACCTTTATTTTTCCTAAGAGTACCCATTCCCCAGATTCCCTCCTAAGAGTTAGCACAATAATCTGTTATATTCTCTCTCTTTTCATTCTATAGTGTTTATGGTTGAATTAATGTACTCTTATATATTCAAAGATTTATTTGATTAGATATCTAGTGACTTTCAAATCTATTATCTCCTTAGGCTCTCATTCCTGGGAAGCAAATTAACATATCTATTTGATAGTACATTAGTTTTTCAACTTGCAATATATTGAAATTGGACTCATTTTATTTTCCCACAATCTTACTTTTGTCTTTCCCATTCCAGTCAAGAGAAGTATTATCTACCTAGTTTTCAAAAAAAAGAACATGAAAATATCTTGGATTCTTTTCTCTCACCTCTCTTATTTTACACTCATGAGGTTTGTCAGTTCTACCTCTGGACAGATGAAATATATTACAGAATTGAGGGAAAAAATGTAATATAATTTTAAGCCAGTTTGAAATGCTTCAGTGGAAACTAAATTCATTTAGAGAAATAAAATGATCAGAGTAGTCTCTAAAGAAAGGACAAAAAATGACTCTGTAGCATAAAAAAGGATGAAATTCATCCTCAAGTAAAAATTAATGCCAAAGTATTTTATCATTTAGTTCATTAGCGTTTTATTACAAACTCAAATATCTTTAATTTTATTTCATTAATATTTTAGTACTCCTGATGCTTAAATATACACGCATATTTCTTTGTAGAAGCATTGTATTATTTCCTGGTAACCTGGGCAAATTTCATGTTCAAAATTTCCCATTGTGTGAAAACATCAATGAGGAAAAAGAATTCTGTATCAGCTGTACAATATAACAAATCTTAACAATGAAAGATCAAAATCCCAGAAGAGAGTGCTGAAGAATAGATGGGCCAAAAATTGTGCCTCCCTGGTGGCACAGGGGTTAAAGTCTCAGCACTGTCAAGCTATAAGCCACTGACCTTAGTTCGATCCCAGCCAAGGAGCTAACCCACATGATGCAGCAGACCTCTCCTGTCTTGCCTGCTGCACTCCTCAGCAGTCTATTTCAGTAGATGTCCCTGTTCTGCACCCCACTCTGTCTCTAGTGAGTTGTCCTCTCAACCACCACCTCTGGTCTGCACCCCAGGTCTTGTATGTATAAATAAAAATGAATCTTTAAAAAAAATAATTTACATACTTAAAAAGATGACCCAAAAATGCTTTCAGAGAAGATTATTTACCTTCTGAAAAGGTAAAGAATGCTGGTAAAGAAAGATGTCTCTGAGAACATGGACACTTGTGTAACTAATGTTTTGGAGGAAGCACATGGTCTACAGATCTTCTAAGTAGTATGCACATGTCATTCTTTTCATCATTTAGTCATCACCTGGCTATGGATCACTATTATATGACCCTTGGTACCTGAGGAACCAAGAAAGCCATCCTCTGGTCTCTCCTCACTTGCTGTGCGGTCACCCCTCACATGAACTTCTCCTGGCAGTCTGTCTGCTAGGGGACAATTTCCAGACCTTATCCA